TCTGTACATAGTCTTTAAGGGTATCTTTTATGTAGATAAGGATGTTATCTAAGTATACTAATATAAAAACATTAAGGTATAAGTTTAGAGCTGTATTAATAATTCTCTAGAATATTACTAAGGAGTTTATTAAGCTAAATAGTATTACTAGTAGTTTATATAATCTTTATAGAGTTCTAAAGGCTGTAAGCTATTTATCTTTTTTTTTATTTATATCTTATTAAATCTATTCTGTATGTTAAACTTTATAAAGTATAAGATTTCTTTTAATTAGTTTATAATATCTTATATAATTAGAAGAGGAAACTAGTTTTAAATTATGTTATTCTCTAAAGTTTAATAGTCTTAATAAACTTAGATTTTTTTCTTTCTTTTTTATAAAGATAACTGCTAAGGCAACGAGGCTATAGCTTTTTTAAATATAGCTTTATACTAGCATTTAATTAATGTATTTTTATAAGGTTTTCTTTTATAATTTTATTAGAGGACAAAGCTTATAAGTTTTTAGATTAGAGTTCTTAATTAGGTTTATAGCGTAGTTCTATAGTTAATGTAGGGGCAATTCTTTTAGGTCTTTAGGTGTCTTAAACATGTCTTAGTAATTCTTATACTTAGAAGGAATAGTGTGTTCCTTTTAGATTTTATAAATACTAACTTATTTTATATCTTTATTAGTTTTAAGTTTTTTAAAAGTAACCTCTTTTAGTTTTTTTTATAACCCTTATTACTCTAGCTTTTAGCTCTTAGTAAGAGAATTTTTAGAGTTTTTATTTTTAAAAGTAGTAACTGCTACTTTATTTTACTTGCTTATAAGTTAAGTATAAGTTATTATAGCATGTTAACTAGGTTATATGTGTGTAGTCTTTAGAACTTTTAATAGTTATTATTTTTTAGTTAATAGCAAAGTTATGCTTTTTAAGCTAGTTATAGCCTAAAATTATATTATATTTATCTTTTAATAAAAGTATACTTATAAATCTTTAGTTTTTAGTCTTTAGTGTTTTTAGTCTTTAGTGTTTTTAGTGTTTAGTGTTTTAAAATTTTTGTTATATATTTTTAAATTAATCTACTCTCTACTATATTCTAATAAGAAGGCGTTATTAAGGGTTACCTTAAATAAGTTTTTTTAAATTTAGAATAAAATGTTTTGCTTGTCTACCTAGTTTTTATCTACTATAGTAAAAGTGCATCTACTATTAATAAGAGTAAGTCCTAATTATCCTTTAAACATAAAGGTTATAGTAAGGCTATGTTCTACTTCTTATTTTATAGTAACTAGAACTAATATGTTATAAAGTACTTTTTTATTTTTAAAAAAGTAAAAGTCTATATTTTAAGAATTATTAAACTTATTTTTTTTATATAACTAATGTTCTTTATTATAGTAATTAGCTGCTTTACACTTATAGTCTTCTACTAGGTAGTGTAATGTTAGGTAATCCTTTTTTTTATACAGCTTTTTACTAGAAATAATAAAACCTATAGTTACTTTTATTATTATAGTTAGGCTACTTTTCTTGCTTATCAAGTAAAGCTGTTTAATAAGTGTAGTAATTTATAGTTTTATAGGCTAAGGCTATTCCTTATGATAAGTATCTATTGTAGTTTTTTTCCTATGTAAGCTACTAGCCTGCTTGGTGCTTATTATCCTAATGCTTTATGCAATACTATTATGTGCATTAGTACAAAGGGTATAAACAGTTATTAGGTCTCTGTAAAGTGTTAAGAAGGCTTTTCTAAGTCTACTAAGAATATTTTTGTGTTTATACTACCTATATAGGGTGTCCTTTCTACTAGCAATTGTTAGTGCTATAGGAGGCGCTTCTATAGAGCATACACTAGCTGTGATTCTATTGTATAATAAGGGCTTTTCTACTAATTACTAGGCCTAGAAGCAGTGTCTTAGGTTTCCTAAAGTCTAGTTTAGGGACTTTAAACCTAGCAGGTCTGCCTAGTCTTTCTAGCTTTTAATTATAAATTTTTGTAAAAAACTGCTATTATTATTTTTATTTACTATGTTATACTTAACTTTAGCTATTTATTATACTATATTGAACATAAGATAGTTGTTACTAATATTTATTTAGTAAAGCGCAACTATGTATTTATTAGAGTAGTTATGTTATTAACTACATTTCTAGCATAAGCATTTCTAGAACTTTCTAGAAAGCTTCTTTACTAAAGTGCTAAGGGTCTAGTTATAGAAGGGAAGCTATTTTTTTTTAATATTTATAATGTATTCTTAAATCTAAGTTTCTTCTTTATATCTTTTAAAAATTATAAGGTCCTGTAACACCTAATTAAGGCTACTAAATTCTTTAATAACTACTTCTTAATATACTTTAAAGTAGTTTTTTAAAGAATAGTTTCCTTTGCATTACTAGTAGAGGTTATTATTTAATTTTTCTAATATTTTTTTATTTATAAGGCTGTATTTAACAGTAATAGCTTTTATTATTATAGTAGTATTTTTATTCTTTTTTTTTTAAAAGTCTAGGTAATTTTAGGAGAATTGTTTTACTTTTTTATAGTTTAAGTAAGCTTTATTCTTTAGCTACTTTTATTACTTTTTAGTTAAAGGCAGCTTATTACATCTAGAGGCTAGGCTTTTCTTTAAAGAGGGGCTTTATATATGTTTTATGTAACTAAAGTCTATTAGCTTTTTATTATAATAAAAGGCTTTTCTTTTCTTAGAAACAAACTTAAGTTTCTAGAGAGCTTCTTTATGCTATTTTTCTCCTTTACATTCTCTATGCTTATTATTATAAAGTGTTACTTTTATAATAAATTTTTTAAAATTAGTTAGCTTTTTATAATATGTAAATTTATTTTTTATTATGTCTTTTAGTCTATTATAGAACATTTAGTAAAAGGCCTTTTAGTCTGTCTATCTATAGATAGCTAGCTGTTCTCTAAAACATGCTGTGTAGTACTAGGCAGTTCCTTTTTCTTATTTTAGGGCGTCTAATTTGTTAGCTGTAATTTTTTGTTTATTTATAGTTCTATAAATAGTTAATAGAGCTTCTTTGAAGGCTTTTATAGTACTAAATATTTCTTTAGTCTTAGGGTTTAGTGTAGTGCTGTTTACTCTAAAATCTATCTAGTTATCTATGTGTAGTTAGAACTAAATTATAGAAAGTCTTTTTAAATGTAGTCCTATCTAGAATATTATTTCTACATTAGTTTAGAATGCTTTTTTATTATATTACATGTAGAGGTAGCATCTAGTAAAAAAGAGGTAAAGGTTCTTAGGTAATTTTTTAAAAAGCTTTAAAAAGGCTAGTTATAAAGTCTTCTTAGCTATAATACTTATTTTCTTAGTTAAGATATTCTAAAGTTTAGCTAGCTTTACCTGTAATATGTGTATCTAGTTTATAGAGCTTATAGCTGTTTGAAGATTTATTAGTATAAGTTAGTGATTAAATTCTGCTACTTTTTAGCACAAATTTTTTACTTTTTTCTAAAGACTAATTAGTTTATGAATCTTATTACTAATCTACTAGAGTTTCTTAATGTTATCCTAGATACTGTTAATCTGTCCTGCTAAGACTTCCTTATTAGCTATTAGAACTTCTGTTAATTCTAATAGAGCTGCATAGGCTATATTAGAATTAAGGTTATGTTAAGTAGTTATACTTTTTAGAGTAGAGTAGTGTTTAATGTTATAATCCTTACTTTATAAAAGCACTTAAGTTAATGTTATTCCTTAGGTGATAGAATAAAAGGTAGGGGCTAACAGTAGGGTGTACAGTCCTATGTAATATCTAATAGGCTAACAGGGTTTAGGAGGGTAACTAGATTGTAGTTTGTCCTTATAGTAGCAGTATAGTGGCTAGGTTAAACAGTCCTATTGGATAGAATTAGAGATATATATGTTGCAAGATATATAAATAGTATTACAGCTCTTTATAAAGCTAGAATGCTACTTAGTCTATGTAATAAATAAACTAAACATTAAACACGCCTTTCTAAAAGTTATTTAAGGTTAAAACTATATACATGTCTAGGGGTGCTAAGAACAAGTTGCGTAAGTTTAATAAGCTTGTAGTAACAGGCTTACTAAGCTTGCTAAGCTTGCTAATTTGTGGCCTACCTTCCTATTAGATGATGCATTCTCCCATAACTGTGGGCAGCTGCGTTGCTTCCGCATCTTCCAATTGGATCGTACGCGAGCCCTGTCCCAACCTAGCTAGATTGTGGAGCACCATCGGTGGGGTTACGTCGGTCCAACCATAGACCGTAACATCTTGGCAGGCGGGCCGACCTCAGCCCCGCAGCCTTACGATCCCCACTCACTTAACCTTGGCTATGCCTTTAGTTAACTAACTTAACTCTCTAAAATACCTATAGAATTCGCTACTTTACAACCCTATATTTAGAGTGGGTCGGCCATCCTCCCTACTAGCGCCACTATTGTGTCCTTCGCTTGTAAATTCGCCTTCTGCTGTAGGCGCTGTATGTAAACCTTACTGCCCTACATTGTAATCTAGCAATTAGCCGTACCTCACCTTAACCTAAGCTTCTTTATAAAACAAAGGATATGGTATGCTATAGTAGAATTAACTTATAGCACTCTTGTATTTACTTACTTTCAGATGCAAACATTCAGTATAGCTTAGCATCCTATCTTCTCGTATGCTCGCTAACTTTGATACCCAGGACTAATATTCCCAACGGACGAGCGAGTTGCCGTGCTCGTCTCTCTAGCTAGGCTGCCTCCTTTAAACTAACTAACGATCTATTCCTGCCGCTTGCGTCTGTCTAACTTCATGCTAAACAACACGTCTTTTACGACATTACGACACCGGTGGGTCTAGCCTTATTGAAGATTTTGTTGGTAACGCAAACTCTATTACTACCATACCGTCATGGCATCTACGATATCTTTTAGCGACACGAATACTGGTTTTTAAGCAGGCATTATCAGCGGGTCAGTTAATAACACCACGTTCTACCTTTCGCCTGACGATATCCAAACACAACGCAAGTGTATTCAAGATATGCGCATTACAGACCCACGCCACGACAAGAAGCGCATAGAGGATATTAAGGGTGGACCTCTAGAAGAGTCGTATCGCTGGGTGCTTAAGAATCCTAACTTCTAGCATTGGCGTAATGACCAGCAGAGCCGACTGCTATGGGTCAAGGGCGATCCTGGCAAGGGCAAGACTATGCTGCTTTGCGGCATCATTGACGAGCTGGAGAAGTCAGTGGCTAAAACAGATCTTTTGTCATACTTCTTCTGCCAGGCCATGGACTCGCGGATCAATAACGCTACAGCCGTGCTACGAGGGTTAATATACTTGCTAGTAGATTAACAGCCATCGCTTTTTTCCTATATACAGAAAAAGTATGATCACGCTGGTGAAGCGCTCTTTGGGGATGCGAATGCCTGGGTTGCTTTATCTGAGATTTTTAGCAGCGTTCTAAAAGACCCCAATTTGAACAGTATCTATTTAATCGTTGACGCGCTCGATGAATGCATAGTAGGCTTGCCGGAATTACTAGGTTTTATCGCACGGATGTCGTCTATATCTCCCCGTGTTAAATGGATCATCTCTAGTCGAAACTGGCCAGTTATTGAGAAAGAGCTCGACGCCGTAATGCAGAAGGCGAGATTGTGTCTTGAGATTAATCAAAAATCAATCTCCAATGCTATTGCGACATATATCCAGTTTAAAGTTGATTGGCTAGCAAAGCGAAATAAATATACTACTAGTGTACGGGATGCTGTCCACCGTTACTTATCGCTAAACGCAGAAGGCACTTTTCTTTGGGTAGCTTTAGTCTGCCAGGAGATGTCTAACACCCCTAGATGGAAGGCTCAGCAGAAGTTAACGACATTTCCACCTGGACTCGATGGCTTCTACCAGCGGATGATAGACTAGATTAGGGGTTCAGAGGATGTCGACCTTTGTAAACGTGTACTGGCTATTACTTTGACTGTGTATCGCCCCATCACATTAGACGAGCTAGAATCTTTTGTTGATATGTCTAACGGAGTTAATAGCGAATATGAAGCTCTATCTGAGATTATAGGGCTCTGTGGATCCTTACTAACACTTCAGGAACGCACTATATCATTTGTTCACTAATCAGCAAAGGATTTTCTACTCGCAAAGGCATTTATTGAGATCTTTCCATCCAGGAAGGAAGAGACCCACCATGAAATCTTCTCAAGGTCACTTAAGGCTATCTCTAGGACTTTGCGACGAGATATCTACAGCTTAGGTGCCTTAGACTGCCCTATCACGCTAGTGAAACAGCTAGATCCAGACCCGTTAGTGGCGTTACGCTACTCGAATATCTATTGGGTCGATCACCTCTGTGACTGGAATTCCAACTCTATAAACCAGGGGATCAACTCTCAGGACAAAGGCAATATCAAGAACTTTATAAGAAAGAAATAACTTTACTAGCTTGAGGCTTTAAGCCTCTGTAGAAGCATGTCTGAAGGTGTACTCGCAATGGCAAAACTTAACGCCTTAGCCTAGGTAATTACTAAGGTAGTAACTCTCTATATAATATATACTAATATGACCTAGAGAGGAGTAGATGCACCTAGCTTTATAAAATTACTTCAAGATGCGCGCTGACATTCAGATCCTCCGGTCCTAGTATACACTTGAAAGTTTTGGGACTATTATTGTATTTATTTCCGAATTTATTCTGTGCAATGCTTATAGAATTATGGGCTTCGTAGAGCATAACAAGAAAGAGTGTTGGCGAGTTCGTCGCTGTCCATGGCGCTTAGGCTTATCTTCGGTCCAGTTCGAAGTGACTTTGAGCGGTATTATCCATGCGCAGATATCTAAATATAGGGAGAATAAGCTTCGCTGCGGCAAGATAAAGATTTGATCTACAAGCTAATGTTGTAGTGCGGAATCGATCTTGTTGGAATAGCGTCATGTTAGTACCCGAAGTTCTTTGCATTATATCTGACAAGATCATGTAGGGCCTCTGCAAATAAGCATTAGGAACCATAAATAGTGTTGCAGAGTAGGAACAGGAGACAATTAGTCTAGATAAGCTCCTCACGGCTCACGTGGCATGAAAGATGATATATCACAATGGTATGCAAGCATATTAGGAACAAGGTTCATTGTAGTTGGCAACCTGAACCATATAGTAATAAGCTCATAGATCACACGACTAGACATGTGAACGAACACTAATGAGGCTCGTGATAAGATATTATACAAATCCAGCAGAGCTCAAAATTACAATGTATGAAAGCAAGCCATTATTCTGTACCCCAACCCCCACGCTTGATTCCCCTAATTCGTCTTCCCTAAAATCGGATGCACAGGCATCGGCCTCATCCATCCAAATCCATCCAAACACATCCAAATACATCCAACACCAGTCCGACACGCCTCGCGCCTCCATCAACAAAAGGTGGCAGATCCGGCAAGTAAATGCTGTTCAGCGCCGGCATCTGATTGAGGTTGATGAACCTGAAGATGAGTTCAAAGACTCCTGGAGAGGGGAAACCCGAGCCGCCGGAGAGGGCGCCTTCGGAACTGGCCGGGGTGTGTCCGGTGGCGTAGTCGATGATGATTGCGGTCTTTGAGCCAAAGTTATTACGCATGTAGTACGCGGCGTCTGGGGGCGGAGAGGGTCGGCGGTATCTTTTGCGGAGTACTTTAGCTTGTGGTGGGATGTGATGGGAGGTAGTTGTGCGTACCAATATACAAGGTCTTGCCTGCAGCTTTCTGCAAGCAAGACTTGTTCAGCTTCTGCAATGTAAATCTGTTTGCGGGCTTGAGATCCCGTTCGGCGCAGGATAAGGTTGTCTGGGCGAGCATAGCACCAACATTTGGTGATGCCTTGATCATGCTTGCGAGATATGCGTCAAAAGTTTTGGGGCTCTTTGAAGCCATCTCAGCATCAATGAAAATGCCGGTAGTGACGATTTCAAACGGAGGTATCATATCTAAGAGGATCAATGGAGGTGGTGGCGGGAATACCACGCTAGCCGCGAATTGGGGTCCAGGGCATGAGATTCCGGCTTTAAGATCCGCAAGTAGATCCCTAGGGCAGGGAAGAAGACACCTAATTCGAGAAGTGCAGTAGATAGGAAACGATGAAAAACTGAGTAGTCAATTGGCTTGGAAACTAGGATGAAGGCGGGAGAAGTCTTGAGCTTCTTGTTCATGGCGCTAAAATGCGTCTTTAGCTGTGCGAGTGCGGTAGAGCTTCCTCTGAGGGAGCATCCAGGCCCAGTGGCGTTTCGGGTAATGAAGAAAGCCTCGATGGTAAGCTGGAGGTCGACAATCGAGGAGGACTGGCTGTCTGTAATGGTGTATGCGACATCAGAGCGAACAGCAACTACGCTGTCGTATCAGTCGAAAATCATTTTAGAAAAAAAGGGACGCACCATCTGACACAAACTTGCCAGCATTGCCGCTAAGGCCCCCGCGCTGCTTTACAAACTTGTTAGCCCGCTCGTGATTGGCAGGCAGAGCGTGGGGCAAACTGTCTGTGAGCTGCGAAAGATCATCTAAAAAGCCGCTGCTTGTACGCCATGATACTTCCGTTGCCGACGGATCTCGTAGCCCTTTCGAACGGTATGGAGCGGCAAGCTATCTACAAGCACGGGCTTGTATACATCGTTCCTGATCTTGGTGGGAAGCTTGAAGCGGGAACCCGTCATATCGTCGCGATTAGAATAACGCTAGATGGCACGTAGGCGAACTAAAGATGACGAATAAGGACGCCGAAGGGAGGAAGTTGGGGATGAGAAAGGGAGAGAAGTTACCCTGCTTGAATCAAGAGGTTGAAAAAGGGTGTTGTTAGGACGATCGCTATAACTCAGAGCCCCTTCATCTGCAGAGAATTCGGAGCAAATATTTCCACCTCTGATTAGTAGCCGGGGGCGACATCTTCACATACAGGCCAGCGCGGAGATGGACACGCTGCTCGAAGGAATTAGTCGCTTTCGGCTAAGAATCGGCGTCGAGGATGCCGCCATCTCAAATTCCCAAGGATCTCTAAGGGGACACGGGCGTGGTTTGGTCATTACTGACTTGCCGTGTGCGTTGTGGAGAACATTGACATGAAGGCCACGTGTTTGAGAGTACGTGACAGCAACATTATGATGCCACGAACGTGGTGACGATGAAGACCGCCGTATAGAGAGAATGGTCCAACTAATTTTTGATGACCCTGGTGCCAGTATGGGCGTGGAAGCTGATGAGCATGATATTGTTGGCGAACCCGATTGTCGTTACCACCACCGATATTGAGATACGGAATGGTGCCTACACAACATGAGCACACTGTCAGCCCAACAACCTCGAGCTCCACCATCCGTATATCCAACGCGGTTATCTGCCGTGAACCTAGCAAGCCGATGTGAAGGGTCCCACGTGTTCTTGTGCTCGCCGTGCCGCATCGATACTAAAATCCAATCAGTTGAAGGCCCTCAAAAGCCTCGGGTTGCATAGCAGCGGAAATTTCAGATTCTGTGGGGAATCTTGCTTGCCTTTCGAAAACAAATTCCGTTCTTGCCATTCGTCATGGTAAGGAGACAAACCCTCTTGCACGGTGTCACGCTGAATGCGGTAGTCTTGGTGCCATCCGTCACAAGCAAAGCTTTGATTCTGTTTGCGCTGAGCAAATGCATTTGCCAATTGAAGTATCGAGAAATTTAGCCTCCTCCAAAACATCTCAACCTCTGATAAGCATGGAACGGATTGATTTCGAAAGTCGTGGACCTCTTAGTGGGTGTAGTGGCTTTGGATGACTAAGGGGAGCGAAGGTCCTTCTATGGCGGACAGACCTCGGCAAACACCTCTCAGAACTGAGTATAAGACGCTTAGGTGCTTGTTTCTGGTCACCGGGCAACTATTCGGAGGTCGGTGCGTGTAGATGTGGCAGCCAGGCAGACCGCGAGACGACAACGATGTAGTCGATGCCTTGTGTACTTGACCGAGAAAAAGCATCGAAATAATTTGTCACCGCTAATCAGCTTGCGCCTGAATAGACTTAAACAGGCAAGTTTTGTGTGTATCGAGAGACATGATGCGTCGGGACTTGGCGAGTTCCCGGTCCTGTTTTTGCCGGATTGGAGTACAAGAAACCCCAATTGGTCGGCTTCTAGTCGAAGTCCAGGCTCATAGACATGAGAAGAAATTTCCGATGTGGAGCCAACCTTTCGTCGTTCTTGTAAGGACGGCTGACATTTGAGACCCTTGTAAGACTGGTCCGCATAACGGATGCCTCAAGGCCTTCAGGACTTCCTCTGCAAGCAAGTCAGTACGAAACTCGCTTAGTGAATGGGTTATAGATCGACTTGCCTCACGACGATAGATAGTGAGCTCAATGCGGGCAGGGATCGCAAATAAGTAGCTTTGCTTATTTTTTTGTGTTTTCCCCCATGCCCGCCCACCACCCAACCTCCGGCTTGACCAACAAGGGGTGCCGGCCATTTGCCTCCATTTCCGGACCCATGTGGACACCTTTCGTACTTGTCACCTCAACGAAGTTTGCCCTAGGTGTTCTTGTCGCCTGCGTCGAAGCCAGCAGGCAGTGGTTTTCTTGGAGAACACCTGGGCGGGACTGGTTGAGCCCTACGGCTCGAACCAGTGCTTCGTGAGGTTTGATCTGTTTGGCGAGAGCACCACTCTTCGTGCCGTTGACGGTATGGGCCGTGGAGGTACCCGAAGATGACAGGCAGTACTACGGCGATTGACACCGCGACGCTGATGTACACCTTCGGGCCCTTCCCCTACAGGCCCAGCACGAAGAGGATGATGCCAACCCAGACCGAAAGGGTCCACATGAGAGGGTCCGGGGCCGTGGAGTTCAGCCAGAGTTGAAAGAATGCCATTTTTAAACGAATGGTGACGTTAAAATGTTTTGGTAACGAATTGTATTGATAGAAATGTTACGATAGCGAATGCGTTGTAACAATGTTGAAGAAGAAAGGGTGCAAGAGGACGGCGAAGCAGGATTTTAATCCATCGCGGCCGTCCACCGTTACTACCTGCTACTATCATGTTGACCAAAACACAGCCCAGGACACCTTCTCTTCTACGACCAGCGGAAGGAGCTGCCGAAGCCCAAAGTAGACTCGCAACGGAAGGAGCTGCCGAATTTATGACCAGAGTCAACTCGCAATTCCCATGGTCCCTCCCCTTCTTGCCTATTGGCCCCTGCACATAATGAGAGAATCATTTCCCGTGCAAAACACTGCCCCAACAGTAAGTACCTTGATATTCAAGGACAATTTCTCCAGACTTACAACCGGTCTAAGATGAGGCCACATGCTAAACAAATCCAAGGCCACATTACCAAAACGAATGTGACCAGCGGTACCACCCACCTGTGCCGATGGGAAAATTTATCCCCGGAATCGGCATCGTTTTCGGGACTCAGTCCGCCCAATTCCAAGTCGTCCATCTGCATTCCTGGTGAAGAGGCGAGCATGCTCATCACTTCTGCGTTGCGTGAGGTTTCCTGCTTCCAAAGAATGTCAATATGGATGGCTACGGCACTGCATAACTAAGGACTAATAACTTGCTTGTGACTGATCGAGTGCGGCTGAAGAGCTTCTCAAAGTGCATGGAAGGAACAAATGCTTTCCTACCTCGTGTGGATGCCTTGCGGTAGGTGTGTATGGTGGTGGCGGCTCGTCGGGGGTTCCCATTCTGACCTCCTCCGGGCAACTGGTCGCGACCATTGGTAGCTGAGGGAGATGATAGACTCCTGTTTGTCAATTTTCGTCACGTAGGAGTCAAGGAGGCTGTATGAATGTATAATAAAGATTGTCATGTAAGACGGCCAAGGATTGATGGTTGTGTTAAAGCGAGCCAGCCCTACTCAGAAACTCCGGTATACTTATATAGCCCATGAATAATCGCAATTAAATAGTGCGAAAATTTTCTATTTATGTTCCATGGAAAGTCTCAAGCCATGAGGTGGCTCGATCGAATGCTTTGACTGGTTGCGCCCTTCAAGGACGCGCAGCCAAAATAATGGTCGTCTATCCATGGTAGAGACCGGAAAAGTGGGGGAAATTTTCTTTGAGCAATCCCTCGGAATTAGGAGGCAAATTGCAAATAGCTTTTATTTTCTGGGTGTTAGTTATCGTTTTCCACGGTTCCCTACGTATCAAGCTGGCTAGTAGAAATAGGATCACGTAGCCCCTCATAAGCTAGCCACCCTAGTAGTGAGCCACCCCACCAAGATCGATGCCATCCACATTAATCGCACGTACAACCTCAACAACCTTGTTATCATGGATAATTACGCGTCTACTATTCAAAAAGCGCTTGCTGATTTTAATGCCGGCACTTACCCAAGCCTACGGGCTACGGCTATAGCGTACGGCATCCCTCGAGCGATCCTACAGCGTCATCACCATGGTGCTACAACGCGTGCGATATCTCATCAACACCAGCAACGGCTGACCCCACTACAAGAGGACTTCGTTGTACAATGGATCCTTGACGAGGACGCGCGTGGATTCCCTCCTACTCACGCTCGTACGCGTGAAATGGCTACAAGAGTACTGCTTATGAATGGCGACGGCGAAAAGCTAGGAAACAAATGGATAGCTAGCTTCCTACGCCGTAACCCAAGCGTCGCCAGCATCATCAGTCGATCTATTGATGTAGCTAGGGCTAAGGTAACTACACCTGATAAAATAAATGCATTCTTACAACAGTACGAGTATATACGCGTTAAGCTTGGTATTAGGCTAGAGGATATCTACAATATAGACGAAACAGGTATTACCCTAGGGGTCTATACCAATACGAGGGTATTAGCAAGCTTATTAAAGAAAAAGGCCAATACCAAAGAACCTTATAATTAAGAGTAGGTATTAATAATTAAGACGATCTTAGTAACTAGTAAGACCCTTACACTAGCTATTATCTTTATTAGTAATAATCTTTAATTAATATAGTTTCTTTATAAAGTACATTAAATTAGTATTATATAATATTAAAGACTAGATGAATATTAAATTAAATAGGTCTAGCTTAAGTATAATGTATTTTTATCCCTAAGATGGATCCTAATTTACAACGCTATCGGATATTAATTTTAAATAGTCACGGTAGCTATATTAATATTAACTTTTAACTAGCCTATAAGACGGCTAAAATTAAGGTTATCTATCTACCTCTATACGCCTCACACATCCTACAACCTTTAGATCTTACTTATTTCTCTATTATTAAGAGCGTCTATTGAAAATAAATTACTAAGCTAGCTAGCCTTAATAATACTACGTTAGTAAAGAAGGAATAATTTATTACTTATTATAAGTTTACTAGGGATTAAGACCTTATAGAACATATAATACAACAAAGTTAAAAGGCTATTAGTATCTCTCTATACAATCCTAAAGCTATTATAAGCTCCTTACAAGTTTAATGCTATTACAACACCAGAACCGCGTAGATAACCTCTCCTATCATCTCCATCATCAGTCTTCACCCTATAAAGGCCTTAGGGTATCTATTATATACAGCAGTCAACGCGTTATAATGGGACAATAATCTGTAAAACTAATCGGATACTTTATAAAGCAAGTAAGGTGTTTAATCAAGCAAATATAAGAGCAGCGTTACTTAAAGCGGAAAATCGACAACTAAGTTAATAAATAGCGACCTTACAGGCTCTAAAAAGGCGTACACGCGTAGTAGTTAATATTAATAAGACCTTTGCCTGTATAGATGAAGTTCCAGCTGCTTAGATGCGTGCAAAGTAAGAAAAGCGACGAAAAAAGCGCATAAAAAAGGCTCCAACGCATTAAACTATACCTGTACCAAGTAGAGATACTGTAGATATTAATCCTATATTTATTTAATGGCAACTATAGGGTTATTCACTAAAATCTACACTGTTTTATCCCGCGGGTCTATTTTGGTGATCTGGCTTACATCCAGGGGTGGCTCACTACTAGGGTGGTTAGTGTTACAATCCTTGCTTCGGGGAAGCACGCGGGTCGATATTATTTCCTATGGGGGTATAGGACGGAAGGTAGGGGCCAACGGTAGGGTGTACAGTCCTACGTAGAGGCTATTAGGCTACTGGAGTGGGGGAAGAGTGACTGGATCGTGGTTTGTCCTCAGGCGGCAGTATGGAGGCTGGGTCAAACGGTCCTGTTAGACAGGATTAGAGGTATATATAGTGCAAGATATACAAATAGTATTACAGCTCTTTAGAAAGCTAAATGCTACTTAGTTTATATAAGAAAATAAACTAAACATTAAACACGCCTCCTAAAGGTTGTTTAAGGTTAAAACTATATACATGTCTAAAGGTGCTAAGAACAAGTTAGACAAGTTTGTTAAGTTTGTAGCGTAGCAGACTTGCTTAACTTGTTAGACTTGTTAGACTTGTGGCCTACTGTCTTATTAGATAGTGCATTCTCCTATAATTACAGGCAGCTGTGCTGCTTCTGTATCCTCTAATTAGTCTATAAGCAAGCCCTGCCCTAACCTAGCCAGATTGTGGAGCACTTGTAGTAGAGTTACGTCAGTCTAACTATAGACTGTAACACGCTGCCCCTCCTCCTTAGCGGCGCCCTCGCCGCTCTGCTCACACAACTGCGTTAGTAAGGGTTTGTTTATAAAGTAGGCGTCTACCTACTAGAAGGCGTTTTTAACATCTATCTTTTTTAAACTAAATAGCTTATTAGTCCTACTTATTTTACTATCTTTATGCTGTTCTTTGCTTTAATCTTCTTTATTAGACAAAGATGCAACCCTATAGCGCTTACTAATTGTTAGGGTTATCTTATGTGTTAACCTTGTTATTAGATAAATGCATAAAGTGTGTAAAAAAAAACAATAGATGCAACACCTTTATGTCTAATACTGTGTAGGATTAGCTAAAGAGGGAAAGAAAAAAGCTTCTTTAGTCTACTAAAGCTTTAAAAGTCTAGGACTAAAAGCTTTTTAAAAAGTAGTTAAAGCAAATTTATAAGTAGATCTATTTGCTAGAGGAGGCAGCAAAGGTAAAAAATAAGAAGCGTTCTAAAGAGGATTATATCTAAAAGTTACTAGACCTGCTAGAGGCTTAGTGTGTAAGGTACTTAAAGAAGGATCTTTCTTTCTTAGATAAAATAGAAGCCCTTAAGGCTAAAGTAAAGGGCTACTTACTTCTTTAACCTTCTTTAGTAGGGACTTGTCTCTAAAGGCTGCTGCTATTTAGTAATAACGTAGCTGTTCCCTTTAAAATAGGTGCTTTATTGCCTAGCTAGTTTCTTTTAAATAAGCCTAAAAGTACACTTGTACTAACTGCTGTGTGTTCTTTAGGTTTGTAGCTAGTTTCTAAGTGTTTTTACTAGTAAGCTATTTTTTTTATTTTATTAAAAACTTCTTTTTATTTCTTTAATTACTTATAACGTACCTAACGGGTTGGCCGGCCACACAGGTTGGCCGGCCACTTTTGCTAAGCCCCTACCCAAACCACTCTATTCTAGCGCAAAATAGTCTACTTTAGCCCTGTATAAAGTAATACAACACAAGATATTATTTAGAGTCTACTTTTACTACTTGCTTACATGTACGCAAGTTATGCCTAGTTTAATTACACTACTTACATTACCTTTAACTTAGCTTACCTCTTTTAGTGTGCACCTGCGTCTTTAGCTTCTTTCTATTACTACGCGCTTTAAACTCCTTTAGAGTAGTTAGACAAGCTTTATCTTTAACTATTAAAGTTTTTTTTACCTAAATCTACTTTTTTTTATGTAATCTATATTATGTAGTAGCTTTATTTGCTGCTTAAAGCTTTATAATCTCCTTTTACACTAACACTAGCTTATGCGTAATAATTACTACCCTTTTTAAAACTTTTTTAAAGGCCTTT